TTTGAACCCATGACCTGCGAGTCAGCAGCCGAGTACCTTCAGCCACTAGACCACCACAGGCGGGGCACTATGATGGTGAAACGATGAGGCAGTCATCCTGGAGGCATGCACTGCAGACTCAAAATATCTGAAGGAAAGGCAATTTCTTACCTATGTTGTTTTCTTCCAACATGTAACAATCCAACCCATCTGTGAGACCAATTTTCATCAACCAGGTTCGCAAGAAGTTGATTATCTTATAGCCTCCCTGATATTCACAAAACTAAGCCGACACTGACCGAGTGGCACGCTCTAAGGCATCCAAAAGTGAAAGGGTTAAAAAGTAGAAGCAGCATGCCCACATGCAAAGTGGATAATGGCACAATTGGAAAAAGTTACTCAAGAAAGGACAGGAACATGAAAGAGAGAAAAAAAAAAATGAACTGTGTCTACTGATTGTGGTGTTTTGTTACATGGTTTCTGTTATTGTGGTAACAAATGCCTCATGCATCCTACTGCATCAACCCAGGACCAATGAAGCGGTCCCATGACTAGCTGCTCAAGTACAACAAACCCTGCTATTGAGATATCTACTAAACAACCAATTGGATCACCAATACAGAGACATTTCTCGATTGAATAAGGCATCTTCCTACATCTCTGCTCCTCGCTGACTTCAGCAATATCCTGGTAATACTATGGGCTTGTAAGGCCTCCCTTTTTCACATTTTTTTGTGCCGTTCACCAGACTATACAAAGCCATATTCAAAAATTTATCAGCTATACCTTAGACACCTAGTTTAGGTGGTTTAAGAACTTATATAGCCCCATATGGAATTAAACAAGCAGGATTATTGTCCTGTGCACTCAAATTTACTGGTTAAAAAGAAAACAAATAAAAAATTGAAATATTACAATCAAAGGTATTAAACAGAGAAATAAAAAAAGCACTTTTTGACCCCTTTACCACTGATAGAATGGCTAGTTAAAATGCATACCACTATCATGGTGCCATAAAAGAAGCCCTGCAATTTTGTAACTGCAAATTAAAGCAGCACATATCTTTTCAGGCCCAAGCATTGCTGCAACTCGAGTCAAATATATATCTACTCTTAGCAAGTTATCTTCAGTACAGCAAACACTGCCCTACATTACAAGTACTATTCACAGCAAGGTCGCACCTTACTTAATGTATCATGTACAAATTTGCATGAATATAAGGTGTGAACAAATGTAACTTCAAGGAAGGTTTACTTTTGATGGCTCAACAAAGCTGTAATTATCACACCACACCCTAAAGAATTGTAATAGATGTATACACGGTTTCTATGCTTGGTCCTACTGGTGAGCTTCAAGAGTGTATAACATCGTGCATACAGAAAATGAACAGAAGGATCGACCAAAGCACAAGCTTACAATCATTTTTATATCAGGAACATCATTACTCTTTTATACACTTGCTGTAAAATTATTTGCTGTACTAGAGGCTTTTATGCCGATTTCAAATATGTAATCAGTTTTATAATAAGTAGCACAGTTTTTATTTCATGTGCCTTGATATGTGTAAAGTACATAGTTTGTTTTCGACAACCTTTTTATTTCACTAAACCTTTATTACTCTAATAATGTCATAAATTATTATTTAATGTAAATAACAAGTATTGCCATTAATTAACAAAAATGTAGAGCCATTAATATAAATATAAAAATATTATATAAAACATTATATAAAAATATAAGCCATTAATGGCTTATATTGCTCTACATTACCTGTAGCATGTAAACAACTATCAAGAAAGAGCGTATAAGACATATTCACAGGCAAGAAAACTTTTATAGTGAGAATTGATGGAATCCTCAGCCCATACTATTGGTTACTTTAGGTTTATAATAATTATGTAGGTGATATCAAGTTTTATATGAGAGACTTGTACCCTTGTCATGTTAAAGAATATGTGAGAAAAGTGTCATCCCAATCGGGCAATTAGAAGTAGAAAAAACATGATGTCCAAAAAAACTATCTCTTTTGCTGACAATGCAAAATAACATATGCTTCGTTTATGCACCTATCTTTTAAATTTAGATATAATATGTACTTTTATAGCCCAGCAAGGCACTTATTTCTTTGAGTCTTGCAATTATTGTGTAATGGTAACAGAAAAATTCGCGTCTGCTATCTCCACAGAGAATGGCTACCCAACCACCCAACTTATTTAAGAGACTATTCTGATAGGTCAATTCTCACCCAGCTCATCTTAATGCAACGACAGTTGGCAAACTCATTCATACCTTCATTTTTTCTTCTGTCCATGTCCTTTATGTGCAATGTATCCACAACTTTATCAGGTTCCCTAAAGACAAATTCTAGTAACTCTAAATATTAGAGCTGTGTAACAAGCAAAACTTTAGGTGCAAAACGAATTCGAGTATCCAAGTGTGAGTGCGAACCACATTGAATACTTTTCCAATATTTCTTAAATACTTTTCGTTTACTTCGAAGTAAAACTACAAGGAGGACAAGCTAGAAAACATTTCTTAGTCTTCTGCAATGCAAATAAAAGTCTTTCTTTTGGCTAGGTTGACGAAGCACTGGCGGATTGGTGCCCCATAGTTGCCTTATCAAGAATGAGTCAATGCAGAAGCTGAAGTGTAAGTGAATGATTTAGCACAACCAAATTTGCGCGTGAAAGGCAAAGGTGCTATCGCCTCTTCTTTCGGTTTCCTTGAAAGCCCAACCAATTTGGTGGACAAGGATGCGTGCCCTTCCAGTTTGGACTTCCAAATCTGCCTTGTAGACTTGAATATATTAGAATATCTGAAATGCAGCCAATGAGAGTGGCTATTCGAAATTGTTAGTATGTGCCTTCTTTTATCCGTGTCCTTGGTCTGTGCTATCAAGTATTATGCTGAAATGCAGGATGCTAAAAATATTTGGCGTCTAATTTGTCAGACTTCCTGCCCGAATTTCAGCTCCAAAAATGCATTAGTTGAGCCCCGACCTCTGCAAGATTTATCACCATGTTGGAACCAGCGTTTTTTAGCGGTAATACAGCTGCGAATGTAGCAGAGCCTAAAACGCAGCTTTATGCATTATGAGAACGTAATGGGGTGAAGCATACTAAAATTCTGAAGGGGCCATCGTTAATTTGACATTGACCGTTTGTCTTTGGGAAGCTTGCATTGAAAAATTCCAGTGCAAATTGAATTGAATAGCAGACACTATTTGAATAATATTAAAAAATTTAAATATTCACACACTCTTAGTGAATATAGATACCCTGTTCATTTTACTTTTAAGAATTCCTTTCTTTTCGAGTGTGTTTCCACACGAAAAAAGAAATGGCAGAGAACTTGAATTGGTAGTACCTGAAGCCGGAATGTAAGCAAGTTGAATTTTAATGCAAGTGAATACTTTTTACTCATTTTTTTTCTCTTTACTCGATTAGTGCAAATTTATCTTGGTTCCTGTCAGCAGAGCTTTTCTCATCAGTTTACTGGCATAACCTGAGCGCATATTTACCATGAATTTACTTGGAAATTTCATGCACATTGTCAATTTTGTTCTTACCATTATATAGATGAAGATCATGTCCAGGTAAATGGCTTTTGACAAAGTGGAAAGAAGCGACAATGGTGAGCGGAGCAAAGATGCTACCACTTACATTACTGACAGAGTCAACTCCTGAGGGTGAGACTAAATTATTCAATGGGTCTCAAAAGCTCCCGTTTATCAAAAACTGTGAATGATGCCAGCAAAAAAGCATCTAGATTATTTTGTATGTATGTAATGTGTTTAGGTGCTGCGATGTGATCATTTCTTTTCTGCTTGCCCAAACACTCAACATAGTAGAAGGAATGCCCCTGATGTGCTTAAATATGTTAACAAGATTGTGTACAAGTTCTTTAGAAGTCAACGACAGCAATTAGCCTACTTATGCAGCTCGGCAAAGTTGCAGAAGTTTTTGGAAGAGCAACGAAAGATGAAACCCGCAAGAGCTTCGTGTAAAGTGCAATAACTATCAATTTTCTTATGCTTTAGGAGGTTATCAGTTACAAGTTTTATTCAGCTAGAATTTGCAGCTCGCCAAAAATTATGTTTATGAAAACTTAGTGTCATAAATTAGTACAATATATATCACGATGAATGTGGAAGCTGGTATAAAAAAGTTTCAGTATGCTGACTGAGTTTAGGAGAGGTGCACCTATGCAGAAGCAGCATATGTACTACCAATTTTTTTTCTTTTTTAAAAGTCACAAAAGTAGAGGATGCATTTTATAGCAAAGTACTACTTCTATGGTCACATTAACAACTACGTTAGCCAATAGGAGCATAGTTGTTATCAACAATATAGTTGTTTCAGCTGTTAAGACAACACACTGATGACTTGCAGCATAAAAAGTTCAGCTACAGAGAAACAGGAGGACAGATAACCGTTCATATACATATTCCCACAGAAATTCACCAAGCATATTTTTGAAAAGTGTAGCACAAGGTGATTTCTCAACCTACTATATAAAAAAAAATACTGAGAGAAATGAACCAGCCTCATATTCACAAAATTAAGGTTTCACACAATGTAATTCTCGTAAATTTGATGTCAAAAAGCAGATAAACAAGGCAATGCACCCGGAGGATGCACCTCCTGTTACGCTTTACACAGTACTTTTGAATGCTGCGTCAAAGCTACATGCTGGAACTATGCCACTGCTGCCGTTGCTGAAATACTGGCCACATGGCAATGTTTTCATTATGAAAAGTCCCACCACATCACCCCATGGCATAAAACTCTTATTCTCCAGATATGGTTATCAAGTTCCTGATGTATTTTAGAGTGTCCCATTAAAGAAAGGCAGGCGAGAGCGCATGAAATGAATGACACGAATATGTCTTCCCAGAGAGCATTTCCTTCACTTTATGCACAAGAACAGCCACACCACTGCTGTATTTTCAATGTTAAAGCTAAAATTTTCGCATGTAACTATAACCGGAAGAAGGAAAACACGATGCAAACGTAACTCACTCTGTTTGAACCATGGGAAGCAGCAGGAGATTGATGGTCTCGGGCGAGTAGCCAAACAGGGGCAGTCGCAAGTCTTGGAACACCTTGCTGCTCTTGGCAAAGGTGCTGGTGTCCTGGCGACGCAGCCCTGGCACACGAACAGGACCCGCCGCTTCGTGCAAGTCCGCCAGAGTGAACTGTGGAGCAGCAAGAAGGACATGGTTAAGTGGTGAAAACTTTGAATAGAATGTGTCGCTGACTGTTTAATTTGTATACTATGTAGTTTAATAAGGCAACATACCGTAGCAAATCTGATAGAATACATGTTGCCAAATGTGCTTGCTCAATTTTATTCCATGATTTTCATTCCCTTTTCCATACAACTTGATCTAGATGATAGCACCATTCGTGCATGGGTCCGGTAAGCAATGAGGCGTGAAAATGACCAAAAGTTGGATGGAACTGGTCTGAACTGTGAAGCCACTACATTGCTCTAATTAAGCGGGTTCCTAGAAACACTACAATAATGCGCACAGATTCATATCTACGTTACGGGAACACTAAAGGCGGAAATGTTTCATTTTGCGAATTAAAAAATTTTGATTTCGTTATACTGAAGATATCACCCTTACTGTGAGAATGAGCTTGGTAAGCAAGAACATGCCAGAAAAGAAAATGCAGCACCCACACCTGATGCCATAACATCAAATATTTCAATGGCATCTATAATGTCATGCATAATTATTAATCTTTGAAAATTAAGCATGTATATTGTCCTGAGGTTTAAAAACATAACACACAAATTCCAAGAAAATTTCATTGAGCCAATATGGTCAAAATTTGAAATATATGTTTCAAAATCCAAAACGTCACGTGTGAAGATTGTGGCACAAAACTTTGACCTCCATTTCTCTCAGTATTATTAACATCTGATGGTGAAATTAATGACATGGTTCTTACAGCACAATTTATTGATCTAAAGAAATAATTGTTCCTCTTTCGTGTCCCTCTAAACTGCACTTCGTTAATGTAATTGTGAACCCTATCGTAACAGACTGAACTGGTTGCTACAAATAAGACCACTACTTTCTCACCATCTCTTTCAGCCACTCGCCCAGTGGCCTCTGGCGGGCAATCTGCAACTTCAGCTCCTCGTCCTTGGTGACATTCTTCTCGAAGGTGTCGACGAGCAGCATGCGCCCGGGCCGCAGGCGACCCTGTTAATCACACAGAGGCAACACAACAGGGTCGTTATACTGAACTCAGATACAAGCTTTTGGACAAGCCTGTGTTTCTTGTGCAAGCATGCTGCTGGGGTCAAGCCTACACAAATTATCAAGCACATGAAGGTGCACATAGTGAACCTGGTGTTGAGTATTGAGCATATTTAAACATAAATGAAGCCTACTATATGATGTTACAGTGATGCAATGGTGCTTCCATCAACTTGTTTCAGTATATTTGCAATAGACTTAATAGAAATTGTGCCGATTTCAGCTTTCTGCGCACACAACTATTGATTACCCCCTACGGTGGTCTAGTGGCTGAGGCACTCGACTGCTGAAGTCATGGGATCGAATCCTAGCTGCAGTGGTCGAATTCTCGATGGAGGCAAAAATGCTTCAGGACCGTGTGCTCCGATTCAGGTGTACGCTAAAAAATCTCAGGTGGTTGAAAAATTCCGGAGCCCTCTACTACGGCGTCTCTCATAATCATATGAGGGTTTTGTGACATTAAACTCCAACAAGTATTATTAATTATTAACACCCAACATTGATTTCTGCCACTGTCAGATTAGGCAGTGCTGAAAAAAAAACTGAGGTGCTTTATTGCTGTTATGTCAACATGTTAGCTTACCATGCCCAAATATTTTTGGTGAGCTTACTCAAAAAAATATGAGCAATCATTTAATGAAATTTGCCCAGAAATACCTGCACATTCTCAAATAATGCAATCTCAATCGAAGCAGTAAAGCTCACAGTCAAGAACATGCTCCCAGAATGTTATTTTTCAATGGAAGAAGAAAATTGCTGAAGTCATCATTGAAGGGGACCTGCCACTAGTGGACATTATATCTTAGGGAAAAAAAAAGCATCTTGTCAGTGGAATAATCAGCATTTTGGAGCAACAGTAAAGCTTAAAGAGAGCTTCTGATACATATAGGAATATAAGCTGCAGGAAAAGCAGTTTGTTTTACCCAGGCACAGTGGTGTCGGATACCGCATGTATTTATTCCTGCAATGACCGCAAGCTTGATCAAATTGTTTCTTTTTATCTTTCACAGAATGATTGCACTGCAAACTTCGTGGACAACATTCATGACGTTTTCTAGTTTTTATTAGTGAAAACACGGCCTCCAAGATCTCTATTTGCGATTTGAAAATGGTATCTACAAAGTGCATCACAAAATGGTACTTACTCCGACTAGAACTCACCAAAATTTTTCTTGAGCGAAGTCACTCAGCCTCAAGACTCACTGAAAAATTTTCAACTGGGCTCACTCAGACTCACAGCTCACTCCACGTCTGAGTGAGTTGACTCGCGAGTCCATTAATGTGTGTATGACTAGCTTTCTCGGCCATGGTTTCTGTTGTGCCTATGCCCCATCAGAGTAGTGTACCTGTGCAGTATGGTTCTTTTTTTTTCTTCTCTTCTCTCTCCCTCTTCTTTCTACCTCAAGGATAAAAGCAAGCAAACATCCCCAATAAAGGCTTTTCTGTTCAAGAGTCTGCGCCTGATAACTGCACTGGCCCCTGGCTGTGGCTATGCTACAGTTTCTATGCTCTTCAACAGCTAATTTGCATAACTGTTACTCTACTTGGCACCTTTTGATCTCATATATTTAAGTAGTGGTTGCAATCCAGTAAGCACATTTTCATTGAAAAAGATGAGATATTTTCATCAAGAAGTTTCCGTGAAAGAGCTTGGAATTGGCAGGTCAAGGCACTTCCCCCCCCTCTCATAACCCACGCCTCTAGTGAATAATTATTGAGCTGGCATATGAATGCTAGTACGCTATAATCTGTGTGAGTAGACGTGCATGTAAACGGAAGCAGGCGTAAGGCTAATACTAATGCTAAGCCGAGGAGTTACCAGTGCCATAGCTAGGCACAAAAACATGCAGCTCCCACAAACTCACTCGGGAAATTTAATTTGCCCTTAAGGCTCGTGCAAATTCACACTCGCCAAACTTTTCCTAAACCGGACTCACCGAGACTCAGGCTTACTGAAATTTTAACCGACCAGACTCATGTGGAGGAACATTGTCACAGCCACAGTTGTGAGGACTCTGACGAAGTGATGGATCAGTTGTAGTACGAAAGAAAAATGAAGTGTAGAGCTGATGTAGAACCCTTTTCTTGTTTTGGGGTAAAAGTTTGCTTCATGCAATAATTGCACCCCTAAATTTGTATCAACTTAAAAAAAAGAAACTTATGACTATGCAAGTAAGCTGTTATCTCTATTACATATTCCAGATATCTCTTACCAGCACTTGACTGCATGCAATTTGACCGAGAAGCAGAGTATAGAAGGAGACGCTTGCAATGCATACCTTCTGTACAATCATCTCTGAAGGGATGTCCAGCACACCGACTTCACTCGCCATCACCATGTAGTTGTCCTTGGTGATGTAGTAGCGAGATGGTCGCAGTCCGTTTCGGTCAAGGATGGCCCCAATATAACGGCCATCAGAAAAGGTCAGCAGTGCTGTAATGAAAGAGATCCAAAGAAAGGGGTTCTTTTAAGGAAAGATACTACTTTTTTTTCTCCTCTTTAAGGCTCATTTGAAACCGCAGCTGGTACGAGATTTGTGACTGGTGACCAAAAAACATCCCTAAGCGAGCAATGTTCGCACCTGTGTGCCATTCATACCTGTTGCAACATACACCACATTCACAGGGTGTATCTGATTGAGAGGTTTGCAACTGCAGCTTTCCGACTGAAAAATCGCACAGAATTCGATTCAGCCAAGCCTTGCGATCAAAAAAGTCACTTGAGACCATTTGCTACCAGTAGCCTTACAACCAACTTGGTTGTATGACTAGTGCTTGTTCCAGCTGCAAATGTGCCTTCAAAGTTTACAAGGTGCACTTCAGCTTCAATTTCAACATAAACGTGAACTAACCTGGGCCATCCCAGGGTTCCATGGCACAGCCACTCCACTGGTAAAACTGCCGCTTCTCAATGCTCATCTGTTCATTGTTCTGCCACGCCTCGGGCACCATGGTCATCACTGCCTGCACTTGACATAATGGCATAGACATAAGAGCAGACAACAAGATTTTTTTCGTTACAGTGTACAACAACTCAACCCAAAGTGCATGAGTTCTTCAGGTACACTAAGGTATGCATGCTAATTAACATAATAACCTCCAAGCAAGATGCACTACGCTTCAAGCAAAAAGGTGAATGAATTCATTTACCGTATTTACTTGATTCTACCCCGCCCTCGATTGTAACGCGTGCCCAGTTTCCACGGCAAAAAAAAAACTAAGACATCGATTGCAACGCGCACCCATTTTTCTCGTTGGCCCGCTTGATCACACCACTCGGGAAAACGACTCCTTTAGAGAGCGTCTTCCGTTTAAATATGAGGTACGGGGGAAGCTTGTGCCTATATGACGTGCAACGGAGCATTGCTGTCACTCTAGTTTTACCGTGGCCCGATGTCAGCACACGAACTTGCTTCGCCCACTTCTCCTCGACGAATGTGGTGCCGGGCATGTCGAAGTAAAGAGGCGTCTGATCGGCATTCCCAATTTGCCCAAGCAGGTAGCCGTTGTTGTGCCGCAAGTTAAGGAGGAACCTCTGAAGACTCTGAAGCTTTTCTTCGTACTCCTCCGGCAACTTCCGGCATATGCCCGTTCGCCTTCAGAGGGAAAAGCCTTTCCTCTTCATAAAGTTAGTTAGCCAGCACCTGCTCGCTTTAAACTGGCTCTGCATTAGCCGTTTTTCTAAGGCTAACTGCATAGCCTGCACTTGGAGCAGTTCTGTCGTCACGGGTCACTGTACCACTCACTGCTTAATCACATACTCGCCGAGCAGCTCTTCAATTTGTGGAAACCAACCCTGCTGTGGTCCACTGAAGCCTTTGCGTGAATCTTTGTTGTCGACAATATTCTGCTTTTGTTTCCGCCAGTCCCGCACGCACGTTTTGGGAACTCCGAACGATTGCGATGCGGCCCGATTTCTGTCCGTTTCGGCACACGCGATGACTTTTTTTTTAAAAGCAGCATTGTGGTACACTCATCGAGTTTTTGGAGTTGGCCCTACCATGCCGTCGATGCTAATGTACTACAAGATAACGAACTCCTCAGCACACGTACAAAGTGCCGCACATGGGAAACACATAGACAGAAATGGCCGACGCGCCATGCCAACGCACGTAGGGGGCGGCCATTTTGGAAGTGCCGGTGGCAATAGAATGACCATATTCATTTTTTTTCGTACTCGATTCTAACGCGCATGCGATTTATGAACTCTCTTAACCGGAAAAAAGGTGTGCGTTAGATTCAAGTAATTACGGTATCTATTACATATTTGGTATAACAGGCAACTGAAAAAAATGGCCAGAAACGACCGATCTTGCCTGTGGAGTCGAACTAAGGTTATATTACATTAGGGTATTTATAATTATTAATTATGTCCAACAGTCCATACATGCCTTTAAGAATCAAGGAGCATTTTTGTTCTTGCATCAACCTCTCATGGCCGGGACAGTTGATATAAAAAACAAAGCTTTTACCAAGACTGCACAGGTGACTCAGCTTAGAGCTTGTGTTGCATGGCTGGCAGACTGCCAAGTGACCATGCATATCTTGACAAAAATAAGATTTTGATGAGGAGTGTGATCAATGGTATTGCTCAAAACTAAAAAAAAAATTAAACTTTTTTTTTTTTCAAGAAACCGAGCACTTCTATCTTATGTCATTTTTACATTTTGCCCCACATTTCCTTTCCTCTCTAAACTTCTCATCAATGTGTTTCACTTGCCAGCTCTGTCGCCATAGGAAGTTCTAGAAGACATTAGTTTGTTATGGCTTTAGGCAAGTACGGGGTATGTGAAGTTTTATTAGAAGCTTAGAATGGCATAATATTATTACGACGCAGGCACAGCAGGAGTCCGACATAGAAGAGCTCACTTTAATTAAAATGAAAGGTGCTCGTAAAGAGGACCGGGCAAGAGCTTCGTCTTCTTTCTGGCAGCACGAGCTCTCCTCTGCAGGTTGAATGCGGCATTTGCCTCCCTCCATGAAGAGCATCGTCCCGATGCTCGGCTACAGAATACGTGGTGTATGTAGTTGACGTATTACGCAACTGACTCACTGCAATATGGCTTCATCCGCACAACGTGTACGATTTCAGATTTTTGAGCTTGCGAGGAACTGTCAGGAATGACCTCATAATTCACGTCACTGCGCTGTACATTATTGTAGGGACCAAAGTACTTCTTCAGTAACTTTTCAGAAAGGCCGTGTCGGCGAATAGGGCTCCAGACCCACACTTTCTCGCCTGGTTGATAAGTGACGTATCGGTGTCGCAGGTTATAACGTTGTGCGTCGTAACTCTGCTGTCAGGGGATTCGCACGCGTGCTAGCTGCCGCGCCTATTCAGCTCGTTGGGTAAAGGCTTGAACATCCGTGTCTGTATCGTCGCAGTCGTGCAGCTACGCGGCATCAAGCATTGTCGTCGCTTCACGGCTTTAAAGAAGACTAAATGGCGTGCTTCGTGTAGTTTCCTGCTGCGCCATATTATAGGCTAACGTCACGTATGGTGGAACGTCGTCCAAATTTTTATGATCCACATCGATGTACATACTGAGCATATCAGCAATTGTCTTGTTGAGGCGTTCTGTTAAGCCGTTGGTTTGTGGGTGGTAAGAGGTAGTTTTTCGATGCGCTGTTCCACTCAACTCAAGCACTGACTTGAGGAGCATGGCCATGAAAGCGGTACCTCTGTCCGTTATTATATTTCTAGGAGCACCATGCCTCAGAACGATATATTCAATGAAAAATCGTGCCGCTTCTACTGCGGTTCCACTTGATAAAGCCTTTGTTTCTGCGTAGCGAGTAAGATGGTCCATAGCGACAAAAACCCACTTGTTTCTAGTATCCGAAGTTGGAAATGGTCCAAGGAGATCCATTCCGATTTGTGCAAAAGGCATGGTGGGCACTTGAACTGGTTGCAACAATCCGGCTGGTTTTAAAGGTGGCGATTTTCATCGTTGACAATCGAGGCACGTGCAGACATAATATAATGCTTTACATTGCCTGGAAGCTTCGGCCAGTAGTACTTCTGTTGAATTCTGGCCAATGTGCGCGTGTATCCGTGGTGGCCGGAGGTTGGCTCATCGTGGCAAGCGCTCAGGATCTCATCGCGAATTGATGTTGGGACGACAAGTAAGTGGGCATTTCCGCTGGGGGAAAAGTTCTTGTATAGGACACCACTGCGCAAGAAGAATGATGGCAGGCTCCTTGCAAATATTTTGGGAATGCTTTTAGACTGGCCGTCAAGAAAATTAATAAGAGAAAGCAACTCACTGTCTTTTTTCTGCTTAGACGAAATGGTGACTGTGTCGACCACTCCTAAAAATGCCATGTCATCATCTTCCGAGATATCAACTTGCTTTATAGGCGACCTGGATAAGCAATCAGCATCAGAGTGCTGCCGTCCCGACTTATAGACGACCGTCATATCGAATTTTTGTAGGCGTAAGCTCCAGCGCGCTAGCCGACCGGATGGGTTCTTCAAGTTGGTCAGCCAGCAAAGAGAGTGGTGGTCGCTGACAACATGGAAGGGACGGCCGTAGAGGTATGGGCGAAACTTCAGAACTGCCCATACTGCAGCAAGACATTCCTTTTCCGTTGTGGAATAATGGGACTCGGCACGGGAAAGCGTCCTACTTGCATATGCAATCACTCTCTCGGCTGAGTCTTGCCACTGGACGAGTACAGCGCCTAAACCTACGTTGCTGGCATCAGTGTGGATCATGGTTGGAGCGTCCTCGTCAAAGTGAGCAAGCACAGGGGGTGTCTGCAGGCGCTGTCGTAGAGTGTCAAATGCTGCTTGTTCCTCTTCGCCCCATAAAAATGGAACATGGTCTCTCATTATGTGTTTAAGGGCGACGCTATGAGCGAGAAATTGGCGATAAATCTGCAGTAGTAGGCGCAAAGGCCGAGAAAACATCTTACGGCCTTCTTTTCTGTTGGCACTGGAAATTTCCGGACGGCGTCAATCTTGTCGGGGTCTGGACGAACACCTTCATGGCTCACCACATGTCCTAAGAATCGGAGTTCTTTGAAACCGAAATGACATTTCTCAGGTTTCAGCATTAAGGCAGCGGACCGTATTGCTCGAAATACTAATAACAGCCGTCTTAGATGTTCCTCGAATATTGGTGAGAAAACAATGACGTCGTCGAGGTATACCAGACAGGTCTGCCACTTAAGGCCTGATAGGACGGTATCCATCAGTCTCTGAAATGTTGCTGGGGCTGAGCCCAATCCGAAGGGCAAGACGTTAAACTCGTAAAGCCCGTCAGGCATAACAAAAGCAGTCTTTTCTCTGTCCCGCTCATCGACCTCAATTTGCCAATAACCGCTTTTCAGGTCCATTGACGAGAAGAAGCATGCATGCCTCAGCCTGTCAAGTGAATCGTCAATACGCGGTAGTGGGTATACGTCTTTCTTTGTCACGTAGTTCAGCTTGTGGTAGTCCACACAGAAGCGTAAGCTGCCGTCTTTTTTCTTAACTAGCACTACCAGTGATGCCCAAGGGCTTTTTTTCGGCTGAATGATGTCATCATTGAGCATTTTCTGGACTTGATCTTGGATTGCTTCACGTTCTTTCGGTGCCACACGGTAGGGGTTTTGTCGAATTGGTATTGCCGTTTCTTCCATTATAATTTGGTGCATTGTCAGTGGCGTTTGATTTACCCTCGAGGTCGATGAAAAACAATCTTCAAACTGGCCGAGAATATCTAGAAGACTCTGCCTCTGCGCTGGCGATAAATCTGTGCTCACGTCGACAGGCAGTGGTGTTGGAGCGACAGGCGTCTCTGCCTGTTGTACTGCGAAGCACTCACAGAATTCTACAATTTTTTCGAAGTATGCAACTGTGGTACCCCCTATAATGTGTCGACACTCGTTGCTGAAGTTCTTCAACAGGACCTCTGCTTGCCCAGACACTACACTGATGAGACTTCTGGCAATAGCGACTCCTCGAGAGAGTAAAAGCG